AATGCCATATGCAAAGTGTTTGGAACAGTGTCTGTCTAGCACACACACAAAAAGTGCTATGTAAAACTAAAACAGAACAAAAGGCTTCCTCTGTGTAGGCCCTATTGGATGTAAAGATGACTGATTTCTCAGCTCTATGCTTGTTGCTGTTTTAAAAGTGTATAGAGAAAATATCAAATAACAGTTAACTGAGTTCAAAGTAGTAAGCAACATGTTACTAGGGGCTAGCAGTGTCAATCACTATTATCTGGTGTATGTGCACATACGTTTGACTTGAGACTAGGGCGTGGCCTGTGGGTTCTAGCTGTATAAAGAAAATCAGAATTCCGCAGAATTAAGAGGTCCCAGTGAAAATACCATCCATAAGCTGTTCTGCCAGCCAGGGGTTCCCCCTCACCAGTGTTATGCACTCTCCCAGATGGCAATGCCAACCCTCTGCTCATCCTTTATTACCAAGAAGGCTCTGTTCTTCTGTGAATTTCCTTTCCATTCATTTTCAAATGACTTTTCTGATATGAGCACTGTGGAATATGCACAAGAAAGAGCAAGATAGAGGCAGCGTGTGGATGGACAGATTTGCATAAGTATAAATACGGTATATGTGCCCACATTTAAATGATGTAGTGATAATATTGTGTTGCTTTCTCAGAGCTACAGCTAATTAATTCAGCTATTGAGATGATAATGATTTCCTTTTCAGTTAATACTGGAGGTAAAAAGAAAAAAAAAACTGCAGAGTTGTTCTATGCACACTTTCTTTGATTCATCTTGGAACAAGGAATTTCATTCTGTTAACTTCTGAGCTGTCCATCAGTATCTATGACAGTTTTAAAGGGAATCATTCCTGGGTAGAGCTGAAGACTCATGGGAACACTGACTCATGCAGGCTGAGGTGTTTACTGAGCTCATGATTTGGGACTAAGAGGTTCTCTTTTTGCTTTCTTTGCTTTAAATATATACACTTTGGTATTTGCATGCTATATCAATGTTAATCTGAAGGAGAAAGTGGTTTTCTTTTTAGATTTTATTTGGTTTTATTTGACATTTGGGGAAATATTAAGATCTTTCCTATTAAAGTTTATAACAGCTAACAAAGTCACAAGCAAGTCTATCACTTAGTTACCTTTGACACATCCACCTTTTGCTGTAATCTCCGTTTTCATATTTAGTCAGTATCCTAGTTAATTTCTATTGCTGTGATAAAACACTGATACAAACCAACTTGGAGAGGAAAGGGTTTATTTGGCTTACAGCTTGTGGTCCATCATCAAGGGAAGCCAACAGGGATTCAGGTCAAGAACCCGAAGCACAGACCATGGAGGAGTGCTCCTTCCCCTGGCCTGTGCTCAACCTGCTTTCTTGTACAACTTAGGACAACCTTTCCAGGGGTGTCACCACCCAATGTCCCACATCACTCAACAATCAAGAAAATGTCCCATAGACATGGTCACAGGGCAATCCAATGGAGGAAATTCCTCATTTGGGATTCCCTCTACCCCGATGTGTCAATTTGATGACTGAAACTATCCAGCATAGTTACCCAAGACCAGAATGTTCTCTCTGTTTCTTATTTCAGGTCTCTTCCACTCTAGCCCAGGTGCCAAAAACTTTCAGCTATGTCATAGTAATCATTTCTAGGCTCCAATCTTCAGTTCTGTCTTTCTTCATCTTGTTCTTTTTTTAAGAATTTTCTCCTCATGCAGGTTAGGCCATACCTTCTCCTGCCAAATTCTTCAACAATGTCTCTTTCTACCTAGCGAACTCTTGCATGGCTTTCAAGGGCATTTAATATTTTTTTCTCTCTCCATCCCTTACACATCTCTCACTATTTCTCCCGGACTCTACCCTCCTACCAAGATGGATTACATACTTTTCCTTGGAACTTCTGTAACATCTGCGTTGCTCATTTCTCAGAAGGTCTTTCCTCCCTCATGGTCAGTTCATGTTTCAAAATTGCACTTAAGCTGAGCTCGGTAGCACACTCAGTGCTTGGGAGGCAGAGGCTGGTGGATCTCTGTGAGATGGAAGCCAACCTGGTCTACCTGGTGAGTTCCAGGCCAGTTGGGGCTACAGGGAGATCTCATCTAGAAAAATAAAAAAATAAAAACCAAAGGGGAAAAAATTATTCTCTAATCCCTTGTTCAAATTCCTCAGGAAGCCTTCACTGATTCCCCACTTTGAATTAGAGTCACTTCTAGCCTCTACACTTGAGTCTTAGTTGAAAAATCCTGACATGATAGCTATTTTATTATTATAACAGTCATTTGACTAACTGCTGGGAAATTTCCATAATAAATATACAACTTTCTATCTCTACAATGTCATTGCTGCTCCTCCCTCTTAAATGTGATACAATCTTTACAAGCATATGGTATGAGCCTGAAATAATGGCTTTGGATTTTGTATTCTGACGATGTACTACTTACTTAGCTATCCTGTCACTCTATCATGTACTATGCTGTGACTTTATGCCTTCATATTTCCAAGTTGAAAAGTTGTGAAGACAGGAATAGCTTACTCATCTTGGTCTTTCCCAAGTCAGAGAACACAGTTTTCAGATAGTAGGTGATAATGCTAAGTTGCCCTATTCTCTTCTGCCCCAAAAGAGGTAAATATAGCAGAAACTTTAAGAATAAAAGCTTTCGAATGTGACTTCCTAGGTTTGAGTCCTCCTAGTCCACGAATCATGGACAAGCTACTACATCTCTCTGTACTGTTTTCCCTTCCTCTTTACTATGGGGAAATATGTTCATTATAAAATTGGTATTATGATTAAGTAGCTAAATGGTGGTAAAGTGGTTAGAACAACAGGTTGTAAATACTTAAATGTATGATATTATTCTAATATTTGTTAAAATAAGGACTCATCTTGAACCAGAATTAGTCATCATGGGGTTATTGTTAAGTCCATGCCAAAGAACATCGCGTAGGTAGACCCTGATGCAAAGGGTATGGAGTCATTCTCATTTCCTTTCTGTTGCTGTGATCAAACACTCTGACCCAGAGCAGCTTATGGAAGGAAAGGGTTTATTTTATCTTATACTTCCAAGTCACAGTCCATCGCTGAGAGAAACTGAGGCAGGGACACAAGGAAGGAACCTGAAGGGAAGCCTGCTTGCTATTTCACACAGTTCTACTTCCAATGGGGAACTCACAGTCAAGGAAATACAGAAAAAAGCATGGAGGTTGCTGGTTTGCTGTGTGGCTCACTCAAGGCTCATGCTCAGCTAGCTTCCTTATACAGCCCAGGACTACCTGACCAGGAATTGGTACTGCCTACAGTGGGCTGGGCTCTCCAACATCAATTAATAAGACAGTCCTCACTGCTACGACCACAGACTAATCTAATAAAGAAAGTTCCTCAACTGAGACTCCTTTTTTCCCCTAGGTAATTCTAGAGTGTCAAGGGGGCAATTAATGCTAACAAGGACACAAGTGAATTGCTAAATCCTTAGAAAGTGAAGAAGGCGATACAAGTTATGAGCTAGAATTGAAATAGCTTTGTTCTCAACAAGGAGCTGGAGATGAAAGTATCCTAGTGATGGGAAAGGTTCTCTAGAGAACCCACCCTAAGGGAGCAAGAGTCAACTTTGAAAACTTGCTAAGTACACCCAGCTTATGACACTGTGTTAGTGACCCCTTATCCATACTGGGTATATTCCAAGATACCCAGTGGATGCTTGAAACTGTGAATGATATACATATTATCCACACATGAGTTAGGCAACTAGAAAAAGAAGGTATCATCAATAATGGTAGATAATAAAATATAAAAATTAGAACCACATGCTGTAGTAATAATTGCATGAATCCCATTAGGAGGGTAATGTATGCAACACGGATTTGATGGGTGAAAGGATGATTCACATCCTGGGTGGGACAGAGTAGAACCAAGCAATATTTTGTCATAATACTCAGAAAGGTATGCAATCTAAAACTCATGAGGGATTTATTTCTGGAATTTTCCATTAATACTTTTGGACCATGGTTGACAACAGGGTCATCAAAACCTCAGAAGCTGAAACTTTGGGTAGGGATATAAGTTTCTGAAGTAGTTAAGAAAGAGATTCCTTGTTACTTCCATTGCCTCTCAACATTGTGTCCCTATTTAGCACCACCCCCTCCCCACTCCCAACTCAGGGAGAACTAGAATCTGTGGTTAACCAAGTGGGAGAGAGTAGGTGGACTGGGACCTGGGGAAAAGGAGAAACAGAGTTAAGTCAGTCACATTCCTTTCCTGGCTTATGTGTCTCATCTGAGTTGGTTGCAGCTGGTCTACACCTTCTCTGAGGAGGTGTTTGCTTTTAAATCCAGCTTGGCATTTTCATTATTATGTTAGGTTGGCATATTAAGTACTGAAGAACTGAAACCTTGAATACAGCTTTCTCCCCAATGCCTGGTAAACAGCAACACACTGCAATTCTTAGTTCAGCTTTCACTTCCTGTCTTGACCATTCCATGTCTTCTCTGTCCCAGCACAGCCTCCTGTCAGTACCCACGCAACCCTTACTTTTCACCTGTTTAGTGTTTGCATGTATTTTCTTTCAGTCAGGTTTAAACTCTAGGCGGGCGAAGATGAATTTGCCTTTATAGCAGCAACACCCGAGGCTCACTGTAATTGTCCTCCAATAAAGATAGATGAAAGTAATATATTCTAAAAAAGAAACCGGGATTTGTTTTTCCTAAGACAGACTATAATTCACACTTTTCTTTATTTTTGAGAGATCAGGCAGCCTTTTGACAACAGGGTGCAATTAAAAATACCCTTTGTTGCACATCATAGTAAAGGTTT